ACAAAAAATTAATAAAAACTATACCAATGTCGTAGAATGCCAAAATCAAACGAAAAAAAGACGAAATTGTAAAGAAATGAACTTGAAGACTATATTATTCGCCAAACCATATTCTGTGCAATTTGCTCAACCCTCATGACCACGTAGATTTCATAATGAAAAGAACTTTTTTTTTTCAAAACTTTTTTTTTATTCGCACGCGCGCATCAGTTTCGGGGCTCCCGGAGGATGTCATCCATATAATCAAATCAACATGGCCTAAATAACCAAAATGAATCAAGGAACCACCCCTACTCTTCTCGACTGTGTTTACGGCAGTGACAGTGGGTGTCACTGGAAGACAGAAGAAAAATGTCCAGACTATGCATGGTGTACAAAATGACTAATAAACTGGTGGACGTCCCAACTACTAAGTACCTAATACCAGCCAACAAGAGAACAGGAAATAGCCATGCCTTCAAGTACCAGAGTTATCAACCAAGGATTGAGGTGTTCAAGAATTCATTCTTTCCTAGAGCTATTGCAGAGTGGAACTCGCTGTCACCAAATACAGTAGACATTGACAATGCCCCTAGAGTTAGATGTTTAAGGGTTAGGTGTAACAAGTCGATCGGTGTAATGTAGCCAGCCGCCGCCGCGCCGCGTGCCTGCGAAGCTGGTGTGTTACACCGAAAGGCGGTTATACCGGCTATACAGATACAGATACGGCAGAGCACTACACTTACTCCCTCCCCCCTAACGTCTCTGAATACACCTGAAAACATAAACCTGCTACATGTACTTCAAAATTTGTCCAAGCAAGTATTGGTGCAAAAGATCAACATTTTGTCCATTGAGCACAAGTTGTTACAACGTTTAACCTTATAACGCTCGAGCATTTCTCCCGACGGTTCCACAACCCTGTTGTACACAGTCTTGTGGCGTTGTAAAACCTTCTTCAACATGGCACTGTCAACTTCACCTGTAAAGAGACCAAAATGAATGTAAGGCCACAGCAAGTAATTTGTATGGATGACATCAGCTAGCGCGCGCATAAATTTTGGCCGGATTTTGAAAAAAAAAAACAAGAAATTTTGTTGCCTTCTGACAGTGGTCACCATGCCGAGAATGGGCAAAGATGTCTGTTGCCATGCCGGAAGGTGGATGGCAGATAAATATGAAGAGAGGGGGCAAGAAAAGACGCTGATTGAATGTTTTGTTTCTTACTTTGATGCAGTGATATGTGAGGTTGGCTGTGTATATGTGATGTTCCCACTGAATCAAAACCATTTGTACAATGATTGACTAAAAATTTTAAATTGTAGGAACCTTTTTTTTGGCCCGCCTTGCTTTTTTTCGCCCGCTCGCATTAGATTTGGAGTCTGCGGAGGATGTCATCCATAAAATTTACTTACTGTGGCCTAATGTGAAAAGATGGTGTGTCGCGCCAAAGGGCGGCTATACCGGCTATACCGATAGATTGTCCACGTAAGATCTGGTATAGAATCCTAAAGTGTGTGGTTAGGGACTGTACGATATTTAGGGGGGAAGGGCCAGTCGTCCGGGGGTAGGGTTAAAATTTTGTTCTTAGGCCCTCCCCCCAGGTCAAAAAAAATTCCTAGCCTTTCCCCCCGACCCCGCCCAAATATCTTCCTAGGCCTTCCCCCCGCGTGGAAATTTCGTGTGTGGGGGGGGACCTCAATTTCCCATCCAAGCCAGCCTAGCGGGGACCAATAGGCGGGCAGCATTTCGTCCACACCCACAACCCGCGCTTTAGCAAGATATGGTTGAAAAAGATGTTTATTAAACTTGTTCAAAAGATACATTTGTAAATTGTTTTCTGAAATTCTGTGTCTTTGAATAGCTGGAGCAAAATAACTACCGAGCCGAGTTAAACCATTTCGGCACTGGGCTTCTGGTGCTTACGTCGGCCGTGCGGCGTAACGTTACAGAAGTCAGTATCTTAGGCCAAGTCTTTGTCTGTGAAAATGTAAGAAAAGAGGCCGTGCAGTCGTGTCCTGCCGATAACCTTGTTGTCCCGATTAAACTTTGTTACCCAGGCGGTATGATCTCGAAAATACCTCGATACCCTTCTAAAGGCAAGGTTTGATTTGCCGATTCCGAGTTTCCAGTGCTGAAGCCGCCGACACTGGACACCAAGTGTTGACGTAACTTCGGCACTGGAGATCTAGGACGGAAGCCGCCTCAACTCTGTATACCAAGTGCTGAGAAAGGAACCCGTTACTTCGGTACTTGCATTATTTTCACCCAAAATACACCAATTCTTACATTGTTTATCCGACATTACAAACTCAGATTACCTGCCGCGCCGTACGGAAGGATGCTGTTCAACCCCATTGTCGAATGGAATCGACGCAAAGTGGGCGTGGCGCGGAATGCTGGTCACCCATTGGTCGCCGCTAGGCTATGTGGATGCGAACACTTTGTTTTCATGAAACTGGTATTAACGTCAAAGTGAACATGGCGGTCTCACCTGACCCACTCCCTATCCCCAGCACACGCAGGGCGGCTCCCGGCTCACACTGGATAGAGTCTGGGACTTTTGATGCATAAGACAACTGGCGGTCCTCTCTCTTTATCTCCAGTGCTGCTCGAGCGATTTGCCAAGCAGCCACATACCGCTCTGGAAAGCGGCGGCTCAACATGCCAACACTTAGCGCTACCTGTCCTGTGGTGGTGCAATAATTACTCATTAGGCCACACCAATTTGATTTGTTGGCTCTCGGACTTTTTCAGAAACAATATGAAGCGACTGGGCGAAAAAATTACAGGTATAGGAATCCTATAATAGCCCCCAAATGCTACGATAGCAGCCATGAAGTCAACACAAAAGGCTGGGTTAATATTTAAACAATGAATTTGAACTTTGAATCAAACCAGTGCATTGATAGATGGAAACACTGTAACAACTAGGAAGAAAAAGACTTTCCTCAGCTGTTGGGGGCAAAATATGAGCTTCTATTAGTTGATTCAGAACCAAATCTTCTTTAATTGCAAATCAGAAAAAAATGAAGAGGCGAATCCGAAAACAAACAAATTAATTGTTGTGGCCTTAGTATACAATCAATGTGGACCCGGAGGTTTTGTCATTTTGTAAATGCCAAAGTTAACACCATAGATGTGGAACAGTGATTGTTAAGAGACAACTGACCGTATCTACTAAAAAGCACACATGTACATGTTGCAAAACCTGGGCTGGCAGTCTCTAGAAGTACGTCGGAAGATCGCCCGCCAGGTCATGTTTTATAAGATTATGCATAATGCTGTCTCCGTCCCACACTCAACCAGGATTGTCCCGGTGGCTCCCGCCGCATCAATCACACTCAAACATTGCAGGCCATCGCGAGCAGAAACAACTTCTACAGGCTCTCGTTCTTCCCCCGCACCATCAGGGAATGGAACGAACTTGAGCCTGGTGCGGCGGAGGCGGGGTCTCTCGCCCAGTTCAAATCTGAACTGGCGAGGACCCTGCTGCATTGAGCGTAACGGCTGCCAATAATCCTACATAGTAGGGCTAGGCAGTAACGGAGATGATGATGACATATACCTGCCATGATGTTGCACTTGAGCCAGAGTTCACCAGACTGTACTTTGACTCCAGTTGAACTTTACTCATCCTGCAACATGGCGGGTATGTGTACAGAGGTGTCCCGCCAATGAGAACATTTGTGTTGTAGGTAGCTATAGGAACATCACGTATACCGGTACTTCACGACAACATTCAACATAACAAGGGACACCCGAGTGCGCAATGTTTGCTCCAGAATTGTACTAAGGCCACACCAATCTAATTTGTTGGTTCTCGGATTCGCCTCTTCATTTTTTTCTGACTTGCAAAAACAAAAGATTCTGGTTCTAAATCAACTCAAATATGCTCATATTTTGCCCCCAACAGTTGAGGAAAGTCATTTTCTTGAATGAACCATGATTATAATTTTCATAATAATCATAAATATTGATATCCAAACAGCCAGATCCAGACAATCAACGTACATAAGACTAATCTTGGGTTGTTTGTCACACGGCATATGATATTGACAGGCATTAATATTACGACAGGACAGGGTCAGCATCAGATTATCACTGAATCCAACACAAACACCACGGCTACTGTAATGGCCAGTGGTGATGATCACCAGTATGAAGATATTGACAGCCATAATATTAAGACAGGGCGGGGTCAGTCTCAGACCAACACTGAGTCCAACACAAACAAACACCACGGCTACTGTAATGGCCAGTGGTCATCAGACAGGACAGGGTCAGTATTAGGCCATCACTGAATCCTTGGATGGTAGAAACTTGTCTTACAGCCGACTGCCTCACAACTGCAAATGCAATGATTAAAGCCACACTTCCACAGGAAGGCAGATGTTGGGCAACCAAATAGCAACAAAGAAAACAAGAAGCCATAGGTGACAATCCTCCTTGAAGTTTTATATATTTCAAAAAAAAAAAAAACAATCCCAAGCGTCAACGCCAGACCTACTGTGCAGACATTATGATTAGGCAACGGTTAATACAATGAGGGCGCGTCACAATCATAAAACATAAAAAGATCTAAATCCATTACTGCTCCCAGGGCGTGTAAAGATACTGTGCTTCAAGTTCGAAGTTCATTTTAATTACACACACACAATCATTGCATTCACATAAAGATCGGACTATCATGGTCGTGTCACTATTAACGAAGACAGCCCCACCGTCTTACCGTGCCTGTTACTTATTAAGCGCGACTGGAACAGGCCAAATTCCAGCAGCAGTTGCGGCAAGCACCGCGAGTGTTTCTACCGGCGGTCAGATACCCGGGATATCTGCTTAGAGAACCTCTGCTACCAGACAACTGCTTAAAACTACGGCCTATTCCACAGGATTGTAAAAGTAGGGATGTTTCTAAAATAAGCATTTACTCCAATATCAAAACAGCTACGGTAAAAATAAAAAGACGTGCATCATCCCGGACATAATGCCACACCACATGCGAAATTACACAGGAATGCGACGTACGGAAGAATGCGTTTTGGCTGCGAACATCTTCCAAAAAACTTGCCATCTCTTAAGCACGGGCAAAAACATCTGGAACCACTTATCAAAACCACCCCGTATCTGCATGAAGTTCCACCCCCCATTGCTATTCCAAACAACGCGTTTTTCTGGACCATTCCAATTCGCCTCGTAATTGTAGGGGTGCGTCTGCAATATTACATTGGCCGCGAAAGCAGCAACGGCAAAAATACACATTCGTGCATCAACACGGGCATGCCCGCAGACGGCGTATAAAATTGCGTGCCGATTACACAAAGAGAACCCAGTGTCTTGACTGCGAACATGAAAAATCGGCTCTTCACAACACTCCGTCCGGAGGTCCTGACCTCCTTCACGGAGTAACAAGGGTTCAAAAATCTCAACCTGGAAAAATCCAGTTTTGTCCATTATTTGTTTTTACACAAAATTAGAGTGTTCATACAATTAGAGATTCCTGATATGAACACTCTATGTTCATTAATGATCTCCTCTACCTAAATCACTTTAAATCACTTGCCGTATAAAATACTATTCACTTAACAAGTACAGCCCTGACAGTTAGGACCACTCAAGATGTAATACTTCGAATAACTGCAAGGGGACGCTGTTGCATCACCAGAAAGGCAATGAGTTAGGCAACTTCCTCTGTCAGAGGCAATGCGAATGACTATCATGATTCTCTACATTGCAGTTTTTATGTTAAACCATTTTCTGTAGTCAGTCATACCTGTTCCAAGATTCCATTAGAGGTATTGGCCATAATGCCTTACTAAAAAACCAATAAAGCTTAATCGTTGTAAACTTTTAATGTATTGGCAAGTCGTATGTATAGAGATTTAGGCTTGTTGCCGTTTTGAAAATAAAGTAAACAGAATTGTGTTCATCCGTAACTATTGTCGACTTTGTAATGTAGGTGCGGGGCCGGGGGAGGGGGGCGTTTGTTTACGTCTATATAAACATGGATATAACATTACATTTTGTCGTTTTGCCAGACAGTTTCAATCTTTTTCGGGATAACACAGTACAGTTCGTGGGATAAGCATCAAATCGGGATTCATCGGAATATCCCGCGGGATTTTTCGGGAACCATGTTGACTAAGATTTTTACAGACAGATGATGCAGTGCATGTTTGTTTCCAAATTATGCATGATGATAACAGTAGCTCAAACGAATAGTGTTTTTAATCAAATATTCCTTTTTTATCGAAAATTTTTGTGGCTTGATAATGTTTTTTTTTAATTTATTCCAACATGCAAATATACAATACATGGTGGTGACGCACTCAAGCTATATGCTTATATTCACGTCACCACTGGACATGAAATAAAAATTACATCACAAAACACAAAACATGGGAATCGTCCAGGTAACGAGTGAACAGAGTTATGTTTTAAGATATTATAAATGAAAACAATTATAGTATAAATCAACTATTAAATCGCTTGGTTTCGGAGAGATATAACTGTGAAATAATTAGTATTTGAGAGCTGAGTTTAGATGAAAGTAAAGGTGATCCATTAAGTAACAGGTATACAAAAGCACTATCGGATAAGTTGTTAATATCTAAAAATGGAATGTTTAGTTGTAAAAGTCTGTCAAGGAGGCGTGCACGATAATGGGAGTATATGGGGCAGTGAAGTGAAAAATGAGGGATGCTTTCGCTTCGGAATCCGCAGCTGCAAGAAGGACTTAAAGCTAACTTACGGATAAACAGACTATAATTTAAGCTGCAGGTTCCGAGCCGAAGGCGCGTTAATAGGGCACAGGTGTACCTTGGTCCCGAGCAAAAATAGGTTTTAACAACAGGGCGAACAGATTTGACTAAATATGATTTAAACAAAGAGGCGCTCAACAAACGAATGCTAGGGTCGAGACTATTCCATAACTGAATTGAATTTGGTATAAAAGATCTTTGAAAACAAGTAGTATTACAGAATAGTGCTTGTAAATTGCGTTCGTTGCGAAGGTTGTATGAATCGGAGACCTCGGGCGGGATTAGATCAGTTAACCCTACCTAGACCGGGGGGGGGGGGGCTAAAAGTGCCCGCGGCAACTTTGATGTCACCTAGCGTCTGAACGGCTAGCCGTAGAACGGCCAAACTTGGTGACTTTTCCTAGAATATTGTTGGCAACAATTCTCTATCATTGGAATAAGATAATAATTTTTTGTGTTGCCATAGCAACGGGTTTCTGACAGGCATTTTTTGCTAAATTAAGTACTTTTTGTTTCAACAATAGAATTTTATGGGTTTTATGTCAAGTTACTCATGGTTTCTAATATTAATAACATCCCATATAATTTTATGTAAATTTTATCATTAAATATGCATAATTTATGCTAATTTGATGACGTCATTGGCCAAAATCCAAGATGGTGGACCATATCATTAGAACAGGTATATACAGGTTATTTTCATTAAAATTTTATCAATACTTCCATTTCTTTTTCCAAAAAAGGTTAAAATGAAGGTCTTTAGTATGTCTACGATGTATTTTAGGCTTTATCATGAAAAAAAACTATTTTTGGAAATTCAAGATTGATGATCCAAGATGGCGGATATCTTAAATATGCATGACGTCATTTTCTGACGTCACCGGTGTTGCTATGGGCAACATAAGACTTAGTACACCCTAATATTCTGTCATAAACACTTTTGGTACAGTTATGTTGAATACCATTTAGTTTTCAGGGAAAACCTATTTAGACGGTTTTGGCCAATAAAATCACATTAATGACGTCATAATGACGTCATATTACATTATAACGACATAAAAGTTCTAGATATGATAAATTTTCACTAGTACATCATTGAAAATTTGGTGGTCATACGACATACCGTTCGCGAGTTCTTAGGGGGGGCCTCACAGATAAGAGTATGACATGAGATAGGATTGATTCAACTTACTACATTAAAAGAATGCCAAAAAGATCAATTTTCAAAATCCAATTCTGTTGCTCTGAAATTGCATTGGAGTTTTTGTACAGCTGCATTATTTGGTCGAGAGATACAGTAAAGACTTTATAGTATAATTAATGGCTGTTTGTAGTGATAGTTAAGAAGTAGGCAGATTGACCTTTTTAAACGGAGCATTCAATTTTCTGTTTTATAATGATTTCGTTGGGAGGTGCAAATAGCCTCATGAAAATATCAGCAAAAAGAGTAAACAGCCTTATTATATATGAAACTTTATTGCATGTTCATTCCCTGGGGGGATAAATGCACGGATGTACAAAGTACAATGTACTAGAGAGTACTACAACAATAGTAATAAAGAAAGGCTAACATCAGGTCTAAGGTATACAATGCTAAAGAAGAAATACATATATAAAGTAGTATCAATCTAAGTTCTAATGCCTTCTTCTCTCTTTTTGAAACATTTTGAAATATACTTACATACTTCATTGATGACGTCTATATTCGTACATGATATGATATATTTAAAAGTGTCTTCTTTTGATAATTTTTTGTCGAGCTTAGTTGAACTGAACAGTGATTTACGTTCGTTATCATATAATTTACAGTCAAGCGTAAAATGCGATTCATCTTCAATACAAGAATTATTACAGAATTTGCATAGTCTATCTTGTAACGGCGTACGGCTATGCCTGCATATATATAATATTCAAACTGCCAGCTACAGACAATCAACCTAACCGTATAAGACTACATGTAATTTAATGTATGTTATGCACTATAAATGAACAACTACCAAATCACGTATTATACAGGCAAGCACAGCAGTATAATCTTCAAGCAGATCCCTCTTGGTGGCAAAAAGACAGTATCAAATTGGCCAGGCAGTATCCATAAGCCAGAGAAGGTCCGCGGTTGGTGGGGGTCAGGACAAAAAAGAAAAAACAAAAACGGCCATATATAAAATGTAACAATCATCCCCCCACAACCTCTGCTTGGAGAGTACAGCAGTAAACATAGGAGCAGAAAGCACTGTAAATGTATGTAAGGCCATGTTGATTTGATTATATGGATGACATCCTCTGGGAACCCCAAAACTGATGCGCGCGTACGAATAAAAAAAGTTTTGCAAAATAAAAAGTTGCTTTCACTATGAAATCTACGTGGTCATGAAGGTTGAACAAATGGCACAGAATATGTTATGGCGAATACTAAGTAATCTACTCTTCGAATTCATTTCTTTACATTTTTGTCTTTTTTCCTTTGATTTTGGCATTCTACGACATTGGTATAGTTTCTAAATGTTTTTCTTGCAACTTATGGTATATTTTTGCTCATTTAGCAACTGTTTTGCACGATTTACATTATGGTTGAAAACTTTTTTTTTTGGAAACGGCCAAAAATTCATGCGCGCGCGGTGTCATCCATATAATCTAATCAACATGGCCTAATGTTTGTGGTTTAAGCAGAATAACGCAAGAATCTACGGATGGATTGAAATGAAATTTGGTTTTGCCATGAAATTTGGTTTTGTTGTTAGGTCTTCTACAATAGTAGAAATATCTAGATTTTAAGCCCCCTGGCGACATTCTTCAGTAATGCAGCAGTACGTCCGGCTTTTCTATCTCCTGTTCTGGAAAGACTATGGTCATGATTTTTGGGGTGGTACATGTAAATAGCTTTGGTGTGCGGACATGCAGAAGTGACATATGCATATACATTTATGTACATTGATAAAAAGTAACGTAACCTAATGGTACGTTAATTATGCAAATTAGGAGTTGATTTGCATAGTTAATGCGGAAAATTTATATTAATTGTGCTAATTGTCCTTTTAAAACGTGCCTGATCACGATTCTCCGAAACTGCATTCATTGTTGTTTGATGAAAACACGCTAGGTAGCATGTCATTATTGTCAGAGGTCAACGACCTGCTTGCTGGTGCCCCCCTCCCAGCGTATCTCGGCCGAATGCCGACTTAGTCCCGCCAGAGGCGGTGAAGCTCGCCCTAGAACGGACACATTATTTGACCATTACTACTCTTTAAGTTGCTGACACGTAAAATTTGGTCTTGCATATAAGTAAAGAAATATCACCCCGTAATCCATGACCAGGCGAAGTTACATTGAAATCACATTGCGTTTAGACGCAAATCGCGATGCGGGAAAACCGATTCGAAACCACCTCTAGAAGTGGCTTGGGATCGAGTCGCTTCAATGTGATTTGGAGCGTTCACATGGAGCCAGTTGAAACCGGCTTCGGGGTAAACCACATGTAAACGGCCTTGGGTGATTCCGTTTAAACACGGCCTTAGAGTCCCGGGTTCGAGTCCTGACATGCCACCGATCTTGTGCCCTTGGGAACGGCACTTCACACGACTTTCCTCACTTCGCTCAGGTGTAAATGAGTATTGTCCTGTCATGTATTTATGGGTTCACCACACCACGAAGTGGTGGTGAACCCATATTGCTTTTTCTGATGTTTCTTCTCCTTCTCCTCCTCCTCCTCCTCCTCCTGCCATATCTTTAAATGGATTCAGCTTCTTCATTTTAGGCTCTAAGGTCCTGAAATTTGGTATGGAGGTACAGTGGGCAAATACCCCTAGGCGTTTTTTTTAATTTTTGTGATACAGGCTTTTAGAATGGTTTTATTTGAGTTTTTTGGCTGTGTTATAGCAAATGTATTACTGTGTTAGTGTGCCGTGTTTACCACGTCTGGGCATGAGTCATCACAATGGAATGCAGGGCATCAACCAATAGGCATGCAGCTTACCTCTATACTTCTTGCTGATTGGCTGTTGGGATTTAACTTGATTAACACCTGCACAGAGCATTTCCACCTGCACAGAGCATTTCTTGCTGATTGGCTGATGGGATTTAACTTGATTAACACCTGCACAGAGCATTTCCATACTGACAGTATGTCTTTATTCAAGTGTTTTGGTAGGTATTTCAAGCTTTTCTGCTCCAGCATTGGAATGCGGGGCATGAACGTTTTTTTTTATTTTATTTTGAAAATCAACAGTTTGCATTATGCAATTAAAAATCCTGACCAATAAAGTAGGGAATAGCTATCCAACTGTTGTTTTAGTTGTATGTTACTTCATATTATAGTTATATCAATGTAATAACTAAATCATTGTTTTCCCTTGTGTTTCTCATTCTTTCCCTGCCATGTGGTAAAATGTGGTGAACCCATCGCTGTATTTGCTCCAAAGCAAATATTGGCCTTTCTAGTTGTCCCCTGTGTTGGTGGCGGCATTAATATAAGTTGAAAAAACTTGCGTGTGTCGTCACCACGTCTGGTGATTACACGTTGGAATTAAAAAAAATGGCAGGAGGAGAAGAAGAAGGAGGAGGAGAAGAAACATGAGGAAATACAGTATTTCACTCCATACTATGTATGGAAAGAAATAATGAAGAGGCGAATCCGAGAACAAATTAAATTGGTGTGGCTAAAGGCCCCCAGAGGTAAACAATCAAGAGTCAAGTACGTTGCTGTTTTTTTTTTTGCTTTCTGTGTTGTTCTGATATTTGATGTAAGAATATAAATCAGTTTTTGTCTATTGAAGTTTGAAAAAATCAGACACTAAACAGTCTACAAGTCTAGACCAAAAATCATGGCGTTGTTTGCAAGTGAAGGGCGTTAATCTTTGACCCTAGACTACTACTGCACATGTACTCTTGCAAAGGCTACTCCATACTCACCCCATGAAACTCCTTCCTCTTCGCCCCGTCGTTCTGCCTCGCCCCCGCCCCGTTCTGCTTCGCCCCCGCAAAAAATCTGCTTCGCCCCCGTCGTTCCTCTACGCCCCCGGCGCAATTCTGCTTTGCCCCCGTCCTTCTGCTTAGCCCCCAATGGCGGCACAGCTCACAGTCGACATGAAAATCGTCTGCAAAATAACAATAAAGGCTGTGCCGCCAAATTTAAAGTAGCCCATGCTCCGGCAAACATTCTGGACCACTTTTCTGCCAAGTGGCGTTGCACAAATCCTTCCCATTCAAAAGTTTACCCCTACCTCACGGCCCGTCAGTGGTCTCAATCACATAGTGTAACATTCAGATATATCAGTACATGCAAGTGCTGCAGATGATGATGGAAGTTTTTCCCCTCATACAACCAAGCAGACTTTTAGCTGGGGATGTGACTACTGCTCATTGACATTTCCAACCACTGACGGGCCGTGAGGTAGGGGTAAACTTTTGAATGGGAAGGATTTGTGCAACGCCACTTGGCAGAAAGGTGGTCCAGAATGTTTGCCGGAGCATGGGCTACTTTAAATTTGGCGGCACAGCCTTTATTGTTATTTTGCAGACGATTTTCGTGTCGACTGTGAGCTGTGCCGCCATTGGGGGCTAAGCAGAAGGACGGGGGCAAAGCAGAATTGCGCCGGGGGCGTAGAGGAACGACGGGGGCGAAGCAGATTTTTTGCGGGGGCGAAGCAGAACGGGGCGGGGGCGAAGCAGAACGGCGGGGGCGAAGAGGAAGGAGTTTCATGGGGGTGATACTGCTAATATCTACTTTAGACATTCTGTAATGCTAACTAGATTGTAGCCGGACTTCTCGGCCAGATAGTCCATGAGGAAGACGGAGATCATGTAACTGTCCGGGTGATCTGAGTCCAGACTGACAATACCCCCCTTGTTGTCCAGTTGATTGGCGATGACACGGAGAGCTTTGGGCACCCTCTCCACGTCTCGGTACTTGTAGTAGTTTGCAACAGACAGGAGCCACTTTTCTGTTGAAAAAAAACAGGCGTCACATTATTGTGTCATATGGAACATTATACTGTGAAAAATGCCTCCGCCCCTGAGGCATCGCCAAAAACAAAGTGTACATTCTTTAAAATTCTGACGCTGAACAAGATTATCTACATCAGGGCCCATCAACCTTCATTAGACCAGGACAGGGGATGCTACAGACTTTCAACAACCTTTGACCCGTTGTTTGATTTCGGAAACTGACATGTACTGAGCTGTAAGACCCTCAACCAGAGGACTGCTGAAGAGTCCAGTACTTGTTTTTGATGATAGTTAACATTTAATATTAAGATATGGACATATTTGGTATTTGAAGAAATTTACCATCGGTAGGAGGGAAGCGAGCTGTCGGTTGGATGATCCTCAGCCCCCGAGACTTAGCTTCACTTTTCACGGCGTCTGTCACTTTCTCAGGCAAGTAGTAGGCTGTCTGTAGGTCCACTTCGCTCAGGCGCTGTATCGTGCTGACCAGCCCCATCCGGATCCAGCTCTGTGCCTGTAGCGTGAAGTGCCCTAGCGGAAATGGTTGGCCCTGCAGGTGAAATCAAGAAATCCGATGTTTCAGACTTCTTTTGGAAGGTCCTTCATGCAATTCTGAGCTTCCTGAATTCCCCCATGTCAACATGTTGGCTCCTAGATCCTGGCCAAAGCCATTTCCTGTTTCTGACCTTTTGACCGCCTGTCATTCTGCCTGTCAACTTTACCCACACATGTACTGTCAATCTGCTCTGCTGTCTGGACAAGCGGATACACAATCCCACATCTCAGCCTAACAAAACAACAATATTTCCGTAACTGCGTAGCTGGAAGTTAAAAGCACCAATAAAAAACAAAAGTACTGTTTGTATGTTTTACAAATCTTTGCAAACTTATCTACCGTGGCCGACAAGGACACACCTGCATCGTCTGCGCGCACACCTGCGTCGCCTGCGCGCACACCTGCGTCGCCTGCGCGCACACCTGCGTCGACTGCGCGTATACCTGCGTCATCTCTGCAAAGAGCTTCCTCGTCTGCGCACGAATACCTGCGTCGTGCCTGCCAAGAGCTTCCTCACGCCTGCACAGAAAGAGATTCCTCGGCGACCTCGCTGCGCGCAACGAAAGCTCGCTGCACGGAAGAATACGTGTCACCCCTGCCTTGTTGAAGAATGGACGGTCCCCTATTACAGGTCAAGGGTCACACCACCTAAAACAATTTTATTCCTGTCTTTTTCTGGGATTTTGTTGTGTCTGTCCCGTAGTATGGCATTGCAAAAAAAGGAGGTACACATTTAAGACAGCGCATGTGCAGTATGATGCATTGTGGGTAATTGTCAAATGTGAAAGCCCCTGAGACATAAACAAAACACTTCCAGACATGCACAAAGCACGGTCTCAGCCGGTCTGGTGTCTTTTGTTTACGTCTCGGGAGCGCTTCATCTTTGACCCCGAGCATGCGCAGTGGTAATTGTAAACCTCCTATGCAAATAAGCCTCGTTCTAACCTCGCGCATGCCTATAGTGAAAGTTTTGGCCCATTCCGTCACCAGTTCGGGAAAAGTTTCCACGAAGTCTCCGTAGAGGAAGAGCGTGACGGGCATCCTGCTGGAGTGAGCCGCGATGGTCTCCACCAACTTGTGCGCCGCCTTGGCGTTCATACCGACCAGGACTGCCAGTGTCAGGCGGGGGGCACCCGAGGGTGGCGCCGTGCAGCCGGAGTAGACGGTCCCTCGTGAGCCTACAAAACTCTCGGAAACCTTGAATGGAAGGAATTGATATCATAAAGCTTAAGACTTTGAAAGAACGTAAAACACTACTTAGTCGTACATAGTCACCTAGGCTAACGCTAACGAGCCGTCGCCAGCCAATCACGTCGCTGGCCACGCTGTCCTGGAACTAATTATGTTCCACTGCCTTTGCATTACAATATTTACAAATTCTTTCACATACAGGTAGCCTTCTATACCGTCCTCTCTCTATTTCCAGAGGATGGGCGCTAACTCTAATTTTGCTAATGGCTGAGCGTAGTTCGAAGTCTGTAAGATTAAGATAGCGTTCTATGTTGTACATAGTTTTACATTTTGCATAAAATCTTAACTTACCACTATCAGTTGACATGGTATGAAAAAATGTTTGTATATGCATATCTGTAAGTCTCCTCCTCAGCATTTTCACAACATGTTCAGGATCAAGTTATGGAACAGTGCCTAAGTCGCGCGGAGGGAGCCTAGACCCTGTAAATGGGCATTATTTGCTGAGATGGGCGGGCAAGCGGGTGGGAAGTGCCCAAGACTATCTTCCTTGATTTTGCTCTAGAAATCCCGCATTGCCCATACCTGCGGGCCGGCCCCCACAGTGCTCTTCAGTGTTTCCGATGTCTCCGAAGAAATGGATAGAGTTATAAGGCCCGCATGTCTTATATGGGGTTGGTTAATGGTCCTATCACATTGTTACGTCCCAGTTTTGCTTCGGTCCCAATTGAAAAAAGGGGCCCTGACGGGTAGTTCCCGGGCTGTTTTATGGCACTTTTGGGCGTAACCCCTACGTGGCCCCGCCGGACACCCTGCGGCTACCGGGCTATTTTTGGGGCTGGCGGGACCCGAGAATTTAATTCTGAATTAAATTCTACCCGGTCCTCGCTGACAAAAAGACGCCGTGATCGAGCCGTGAGAACACCGACAGGTACCCCTCCGGTTGCCGGCAGTCCACCGGGACACATTTCTTACATCACAGACCAGATGAACAGAATAAAGGTGTGTACTTCGTAAACCCGGGTAAAATGTGTGACGTCACAGAACAAATGATCACAACGAAAGCGTGAACTCCATATTAAGTGGGTCAGTACAAGACATCGTCAGAGAAGCTGCCGGGTACCTGCCGGAGAACGACCAATAAGGGTGACAAAATGCTACTGAAGGAAACTTTCAATTGTGACCACAACAAGCGGTGCCCGCCAGGCTTCAGAGGAAATAACACGAAACTATATAAAGGTAACATTTACAAATGCATAATGTTTAGGCATAGTAAACTACTACTCTACTAATTCTAACTCAACACATTCATACATACATTGTATTTATAATGACCAGCCCCTGCAACTCTGTCCTGAAACTTGCAACAAATGTAACTCAACACCAAAGGTATCTGCCACAGCGCCAGTTACCATGGTGACAGCTGTCAGGTCCAGGTCATTGACCGTATGTGTTTGGAGAAGAAGAAGAAACAGAGCAAAAACAATATGTCTTCCCTCTACGAAGGTAAACATAATAAACTATCAGCGATTCTCAGAGGTATAGTATGGCTTTATTAGCAGCGTTTCACCAACATATATAATAATTTCTCTCAATAAATTACGGGCAGAAAATAAATCTGTTCATCATGAACCAACCTACTGTAACGTTTTTAAATACGGAAGTTGTGCTGCAGTTGGGGTTTGTCGTTTGAGATGATCACATTTTTTTACTTTAGCAGCAGTTCATCATTGCACTTAGGAAGATAATCAGCATATATTTAAGGGTTAATGTCCAGCCCCGAGGTGAATATGGTGTGATAAAGCCTTGTCAGTTGCTATAACCACCAAGTGAGCGCAGCGAACGAGGTGGCTTTATGAGGTGGTTATAGCAACTGACAAGGCTTTATCACACCATATTCACCGAGAAAGGGCGGGCCATTAACGCTATTATCATATAGCTTACGCGATAGCCTATCCAAACTGATGCAGTGAAAAGTGACACAATGTACAATTTACCCCTTGCACATGCTGAATAGAACATAGAATATTTGTTCCGTCTGGAGTCACCTGAGGTCACTGGGGGGTTCACGTTCTATGGCCTTCTATCTGGGTCACAGGCAGGGAACAGGTGTTCTTATGGGAGTCACCCGAGGTCATCGGAACACAACTCAAGTTATTTTTGGATTTTTTAGAAGTAGAGCCGTGTTCTATTGGGTCACCTGAGGTCATATGCGGGTGATTATTCATTTTGTTTAATGTATGGATTGGGATGAATAAATACCCGATTTTGACTCTATTTGTGACATTACGGCGACATAAAGAATGTGGAATGGAGCCTTCTGATTGGTCAACGTCACCCGGCTATATGATAATTTGCATTGAATCGTTTCGTTTCGCACCCTTACACCTCACTTACTTCATACTGACATTTGCAATTGATCGTTTGGTAATATGTAGTATGCAGTCTTGAAAGAATCGCTAGGTGGAGCAACTTTACGTCATGCTATTGTTGGTCTATCCATGGTCTATCACAGGCTTTTGAAAACAAACAACAACTCCACATCTTATAGTCTCAAGAAGAAGTCATAGGTCTGATTGAAATGATCCCTACTGTTATTAGATAGATTATGTTATATTATATTATACTTGCTATGTTCTTGTCAGGAAAACTCAGTGCTCTTTTTCCTTGTGAAATTTCTTCCATAGACGATACCTGTGAGCAAAATGAAAGAAAGGAAAGAATATTGTAATTTAGGAATATATTGGATTACACAATTATACATTTATACGCAAGTTGTCAAGGGATAATAATACTAGACTGAGAACATTTCAGTTGAGCTAGAATATTTCAGATGAAACGATATTCCCGAGAGGCAAACTGTTCTCCCCAGCAGCCAACTCCCCTGGCATGTTATCTCTCTATTAATATTTGGCCGATTTCTACTCTTTCCAGTCGCCTCTCGAAGCCTGGTAGAGGCTAGCATATTTCAGATGAGCTAGGGTAGCAATAGAGAGATGGTCAGTAATCCAGAGACGTGCAAGCTCAGTGTCTTACCTGAGATCGTAGTAGAGCAGGTAGCCCTTGCCCGTCTGTTCCCGGTACATGAAGCCCGGCAGGGAGAGGAGACAGAGTCCGCGTCCGTTCATCTCAAACATGGGCAGCGCCACGGACAGGGAGTACAGGCGCGACATCACGTACACCCACCACTTCACGTGGCACGGGCTGGGAAAATTAAAAAAAAAAGTTCACAACACTACCAGGCTTCGAGAGGCGGCTGGCCGACGTTCGTGGGGGGAAGGGTTCTGAATGTGTGACAGGGGCTTATGTGTAGCCTCTACCAGGCTTCGGGAGGCGGCTGGAAAGAGCAGAAATTGACCAAAATAGATAGATAGCATGCCAGGGGAGTCGGTCCGCTAAGAGAACAGTCTGTGCAGCACTCGAGCGGCAAACTGTACTCTAAGCGCGAATCAAGTCCCCTGGCATACCATCTGGCTATTTGGCCAATTTCTAGTTTAATTTTACAGGGAGTACAGCCTGGACATCACGTACATCTACCACTTCACGTGGCACGGGCTCCACGTGAACGGGTCTGGAGGGGGAAAACGACATAGCTAGCTATTTATTTTAAATTCCCATTTCCACTATCTGTATCTGTATAGCCAGTATAACCGCCCTTCGGCGTAACATACCCGCTTCGCGGGCACGCGGCGCGGCGGCAGCTAGCTCTATTACACCGAACAACCTGTTACACCCAATCTTTGCACAGTTAATTGCAGGAGTTGTTTAAAGCTTTCTAGTGATTACTAGACGGTGATCATTGAATGGTCAAAATTTATGGAATATTAAAGGCATTCAATGCAATTTCAGGGTAACAAAACTGGATTTGAATAGTCAATTTTCTGGTCGTTTTCTTGATGTAATAAATTGAATCAATCCTATCCTATGCAATACAATACTGATATCGAGGAGGTAAAAATGCGATGTCAGTGATGGGAAACCATTGCTTGTTTTATTTATTATGGGTTCACCACACCACGAAGTGGTGGTGAACCCATATTGCTTTTTCTGATGTTTCTTCTCCTCCTTCTCCTTCTCCTCCTTCTCCTGCCATTTTTTAAATGGATTCAGCTTCTTCATTTTAGGGCCTAAGGTCCTGAAATTTGGTATGGAGGTACAGTGGGCAAATACCCCTAGGCGTTTTTTAAATTTTTGTGATACAGGCTTTTAGAATGGTTTTATTTGAGTTTTTTGGCTGTGTTATAGCAAATGTATTACTGTGTTAGTGTGCCGTGTTTACCACGTCTGGGCATGAGTCATCACAATGGAATGCAGGGCATCAACCAATAGGCATGCAGCTTTCCTCTATACTTCTTGCTGATTGGCTGTTGGGATTTAACTTGATTAACAGGCTGCACAGAGCATTTCCACCTGCACAGAGCATTTCTTGCTGATTGGCTGTTGGGATTTAACTTGATTAACACCTGCACAGAGCATTTCCATACTGACAGTATGTCTTTATTCAAGTGTTTTGGTAGGGTATTTCAAGCTTTTCTGCTCCAGCATTGGAATGCGGGGCATGAACGTTTTTTTATTATTTTGAAAATCAACATTTGCATTATGCAATTAAAAATCCTAACCAATAAAGTAGGGAATAGCTATCCAACTGTTGTTTTAGTTGTATGTTACTTCATATTATAGTTATATCATTGTAAATCATTGTTTTCCCTTGTGTTTCTCATTCTTTCCCTGCCATGTGGTAAAATGTGGTGAACCCACCGCTGTATTTGCTCCAAAGCAAATATTGGCCTTTCTAGTTTATTTATCTATTTATGAAGATTTACCACATTTGTGGAGGGATTGACATAACAGGTGACTATCACCTTTTCAAAGATGTCAACCCCGAGACCAGGCTGTAAGGTTTGAACCACTCACACCGGGAAGGTCCCCTACTCTTTTCGATAAGTGCGGTGGGTTCTTTAACGTGCGTGGGGTGTGACTCTCCCAAACACGGGACCTCCATTTAACGTCCTATCCGAGGGACGTCCCTTACTAAAGCTAGATACTCATTTTCACCTGAGTGAAGTGAGGAAAGTCGTGTAAAGTACCTTTCCCAAGGGTACTTTACGTCGGGGCGCATGTTCGGACTTGTTCGGGTACGACCCGGAATCGAACCCGGGTCTCCCCGCTTCGTAGTCCAGTGATGTACCACTACACCACACCGTAGCGTACCGTAGGCTGGTTCTAGCTATTTATGTAGCCATTGTAGGCGTTATGACGGTCTCGGACAAGGATGCAAATATGTATAGTAACGTTTTTACATTGTTTTTTCAATAATTGATTTCTTACGTCAACATTGTTTAGAAAGCAATGTTCTAACCCGGGTTAAGCGGCGCGCATGGACATGGGGTCCACATTGATCGGTGCAGCTTCAATGTTGTTGTTCGACCGCACGTAAAATCAATCGGAAGGCAACCGCAAACAAGATTATATCCTGGCCTGATATACAGCGGAGCTT